TACTATGTGTCAGGCAACAAGGTCAGTATCATCACACAATCACCCATTCTAATAACTGCAAAGCATTTCAATTCTACAGCGTGAGAAGGAGTTTAACTTGATAGCTATTACTTAGCACTCTTTAAAAATGAGCCCAGATGACACATAGGATTAATTATATGTTATTCAATTTCAATTTTAAAAAGAGGAAAGTTTTCTGTATGATTTCACACTGTGCTAATTGTTCTAATAGGCAAGAGAAAAGGCAATAATTTTAGTTATGACAATATCATAATCCTTCTACACTGAACCATAATAGAAGAATATTCCACTGAAACACCTCACTCATAATACTGTTTTCCTTCATGATAATAGGAAAAAAATTTTGTGTAGTTCGATGGCATTGCAACTGATTCCAATGTTCTGCATGGAGGAAAAAACAACCATTTTCTATTGTATATGTGGTAAAAAAAAAAAGGTAACCATAAAAGCATAATGTTTATGCAATAGAAAGAAAGAGGAGGGATAATTAGCTGCCATCCCATTCACCTTACTGTCTTCAGTAGTACATGTTGAATCTGCACCTGTGTGCAGTTTGAGGCAGGTGCATCTGCCATCTTCTTTCACCTGCAAAGCACTGAACTATGGTGTGGAGGCTTCAGGCCAGTGCTAAGCTTTCTTTCTCTCTCTGTTCCTCTGTACTGACCCTAGGCTGGGGAAAGAGGCTGCAAGATATTAAGGCAGCTAATATTGCAAAAGGAATAGTGAGTCTCTTCCTGAATGAGGGAGTGGAACCAACCTTACAACATTTATTTTCTGGACATGTCGATTTGTCCACAAGATTGTGGTTAAGATATTCCAGGCTGAACTAATTTTTAAAAAAAAGATAAATAGAAGAAAAACCAATAGAATAGAAGAAAGGCAACAGGGGGAGGGAGGAGAGGGGAAAGGAAATACTGGGGACTGAATGGGAGCAAATTATATTCCATACTTATGTAATTATATCAAAACAAACCCAATATTATGTACAGCTATAATGTACTAATTCAAAAAAAAATTTAATATCTAATGCTGAATGATCTAATCCTGATTTGGCTGAATGAAGAATATTGATGGGGCTTGGGCTGGGGCTCAGTGGCGGATCGCTCACCTAGCATGTGTGGGTGCTGGGTTTGATCTTCAGCACCATATAAAAATAAATAAATGAAATAAAGGTATTGTGTCCAACTACAACTAAAAAAAAAATTTTAAAAATATTGGTAAAGAGGTCCCAGTATTGGGCACAGTCTGCAGTAAGAGCAGGTGGGATTGGGGTCAGTGGGGAGATGGATGCCTGGAGGAAAGAGTTGTGGGGTGGTGTCGAACTTGATTGGCTCTCAAGTGGGATTTTCCTCTTAGACCAGCAAAATTTAAAGTATGAGAATCAAAAATAATTTAAAAGTAATCAAAATACATCTGCATATCCTCTCTCTCCTCTCTGGAATTCTTCATCTGACATTGCTGCTCATCCTTCAAACCCTAGCTCAAGCCTCGGATGCCCTAGGAAGTCTGTCCTGCCTCCTGCACTCTCCTAGGCTGGGCACCCTTCCCTGCTCCCATAAAACCGGGAGACATTTCCTGTTGGGGAGGAAGGAGTTTTCTCTGCTATGAAATAGGATGTATTAGTTGAATTTGCAGAACCTACAAAATATCCTAGTTTTAGCTTTGGCCCATCCAGGCTTCTGGCCACTTGCTCTATTCTCTTTTCCTGTCCCCTTCTCATGGGAAGGGAGTTGCTCTTTTGACTGAATCATTAGACCACATTGCACTAACAGGCAAGGACACTGTCAAAGGGTCATAAGCCATCACACGTGTCCATATTCTTATTTCATCAGCTGTTAGAAGTGGCAGGCTGGCCTTCTTGTCTATGTGGTTATTGGGTAAATGGATTTGAGAATCTGCTCCAGAGACTTTCTCATTCCTGTCATTATCCACCAGGAGGCTGAATATAGTGTAAAGGAGGGGTACCCCAGAGGAACAGACCTCAGTCAGGCACCCTGGCTCAGTCTACAGGGCAACCCTGTGTTTGGCTTGGTTGGATGCTTTCCCACTTGGCAATTGATTCTCATAGGTAGCATCCCCTTGTCAGGAGACTGTGGAAAGCAGCACACTCAGTGAGAAGATTCTAGGACCTACTAACTTGCAGACCTCTAATACTTCCATCTTTGCACTTCCAACAATGCACTGTCATCTGTCTCCCTTGGTTAGGTAGTAAATTCTATAAAAAACAAAGTCAATCCTTGTATCCTCAGCTCAGTCCAATGTCCAGTATGTTAGGTGCTCAAAAAATGTTTAGCAAACGAATGGATGAGTTTGTCCATTCTTGAACCTAGTTTATCCATCCAACCTCTGGCCACCCCCTGCATCTGGTCCTGCCAGTTGGATCCCTGAAGATTCCCTCCATAAGTTGTGCCAGACCCACCTGTGTTGAGCCCACCTGTCCTCCTCACCCATAATTTCGTTAACATTCACATTCACAATTTCTATTAAGCTTTTTTTCAGCTAGTTCTGATCATTTTGTCTCTTGCACAATTAGTTTAGTCCTTTGTTATTCTCTAATTTAAATGTGTTGGCATTATGTGTTTAACTGGATCACATGGAACCTGGTCTCCACTTACCTATCTTGGAAAACACCATCAGGAGAGTAAGAAGTTGCGAATAGAGGCATTGTCTAGTCTCACTAGCTGGAATGAGGTGGGATGAGTCATTTATTTTCCTTACTTCTCAGTTTCCTCATCTGTAAAAACTGAGGAGATAACCATCTGCTTGTATCACAGGTGCTATAAGGATCAAAATAAAGACAGTGACATCTGCAAAGAACTAAAGCACAATTCATACCTCATAGAACATAGCTCAGAGGAGAACTTAATAACGCTTGTAGATTTACTTAATAATAATTATGTTGTTCATAAGCATTTCAAAATGAAGGTTGAATCATTCTTAATGTAGCTCTAGTGAAGATTATTATTATTGTTTTAGTTATTTATTTACTTTTGCAGTGACAGGTAGGTGATCCAGCATCTTTAAGCCTATTCCAAGCATGTTCAACAGGTTAAAAATGTTTGAGAAATACTATCACAAAAATCTCTTGGAAAACAGTTTTGCAAATTTTTTTTGTTTGCCATCATTGTATATCCTAAAACTAATTAATTGATTATTAGGGATTAATAATCCAACCCATCAAAAATTTTATATTTAATCACCTCCCTTCTATTACTTACTTGTAACTGAACTTGAATTTTGATCCCAGTGTAGGAATTATTATCTTCATTTCATGAGAACCCAGAAGTTCAGTGAATTTGAAGGTCAGAGAGATCAACAGCTACTGGGGTCAGGACTACAGAGCTCACAGTCACAAAGGTTCAGTTGTCTTTCTACTAAGATGAGGTGAAGAGGCAGTGAGGACAAAGACTGGGTATGAGTGAAATGTGGGCTGTTTAATGCTAAGCTTCCCAGGCATTTAGGCTTGGTGAGGTAAGAGGTTAAATTTTTGCTTAAAATAAAATTCCTGGATTCTTTCGGTGGTTGGTGTATATTACTTTTATTTTCTCTACTCCATGCAAACAAGAATTCTATACATGATGATGAATACTCAGCATGTCTGTGCTGCCAGATGGATCTTCAAATCAACTTTCTTTGCATAATACTAATTTTAGTAAAGAAATTCTCCAAACATAGTAGGTTAATACAGAATGTTGATGTTGTGTGATAATACACTGTAAAGGATTCAACCTTTGAAGATTTAAAAAAAAAACACCTTACGTATCACTATTTAGTTCAAAGAAATAGAGGTGAGGGGAATGTTTTGGGTAATCACAGAACAATTTTATCTTAGTTTTATTAAGGGCTTTATATTTTGTAACATCAATGTCTTCTCTGGTTAAAAAACAGTAAAATTTTTATATACAGAAAATATTGTATATGCTGTAAAACTCCTTAAGTCATGCATGATGTGTAGTCATTGACAACGTCATAGTGTTTTGGTCAATGAAGGACCACACATACGACAGTGGTCCCATAAGATCATACTGTGTAGCCTAGTGATGTCATATCCATTTTAGTTTTTATAGGTACATTCTGTGATATTCACACAATGACAAAGTCACCTCCATTTTTCAAAATGTGTCCCTTCATTAAGCACACGACTGCATATTGTTATTCTTGGGGTTTTGCAAGCAACTTTAACATGTTACAAAAAAATATTTGTGTACATTTTTATGGTGTAGTACAAAGATACCAGTATGAGATGAGACTTATTTTCTATATTTTAAAAGTTACATGTAAGAATTTAATAACATTAATTTTAAACTCTGCCCGTGTAAATGAGTACTTGAAGAAAGAGAGGAAGTTAAATAACCTTCAGCTAAGTTAATTAACATGCCCCAATGTTGTGTGAAAAGGTAATTTTCCTACTCAGTGTGTTTTTGACTCAAATTCTAAGAGTGGTGACCTACATAGATGTATAGACCTCAGCAGTTTGATATGGCAACCACTAGAGACGTGGCTACTCAAATTAATTCAAATTTTAAAAAAATGTAATACTCAACTCCTTATTTGCATTAGCTACATGAAGGGTTCAAACGCTACATGTGGTTAGTAACTGCAGTATTGGAGACATAGAGGACATTTTAGAGAAAGTTTTATGAGATAGCAATCTCGTGATGGCATAGGTTAACAAGATTAGCAAGAATCCCATGTGAATGGTGGAGGGAGTTTTGAATATTTTCTCCAAATTAACATTCCCTTGACAAACATCGCTAAATACTTCTATATGTTACACCCACCTATACACACACACACACACACACACACACAAACACACACGCATACACAGAGTCTGGGTCACCATAAATAACAATATCTTTGTATCTTTCATGGCCATTGAATCTTTTACTTGAGGGTGGTTATTATTTAATGAATAATTTCAAGTAATTCTCTCTATTGCAATAACAGATCATCACTGAGGAGAACACACTTCTGACTGCATGGTGCTTTATTTAAATGCACATATATACAATGATGACAAAGGAAAACATGGCAGAATCCAGCACAATGGCTGCATGCTCAGGTAGGACAGGTGGAATCTGGTCTTACAGAATGAAATATGGTTGAAAATAGGAAAAGCTTGGAGAGCAAGTGTTGTTTCCCATCACCACATAGAAGGGTCTTCAAGCCTGTAACACATAAGAAGCAAAGCATGTTAAGAGAAGCTGCTTGACTGCCTGGGATACTTTCAAGAGTGAGACACGCAGCTCTGAACTGAAAGATGATCAGAAACTCTCGAGAAACCTCCCGTTGGCACTCTAAATCAGAGGCCATGTGGAATAGTAGGAGTGAGACAGCTGCATGATGTGCAAAGACCCAGCTGAGAGGCTTTCACTCATGCTAAGGAAGTCACAGGCAAATCTCCGAGGGAGTATTTAAAAGGCTCTGTACATATCAAAGGAGCTGAGGAACTCAGCAATATTTCTGAAGATCAAAACTACAGGAATCACATGAAACTGTAACAAGAAAGTTAGTGTTACTCAACTGAATATGCTTCCGTTGTCCCCCCCCCCCCCCCCGCAAGCCTTGTTGTGTAGTAGGATGCTATTTATTAGACTATAAAAAGCCCTTTTCAAGAAAACAGCACTCGCAGGCAACTTCAAGGCTATCAGCTTTTGTTTCTTTCTAATTGCCATGAGTCTGTCAATCAGGGTTCAATTAACTTTTGCATGCACTAACTGTGTTACGTGGGGCCACACGACAAAACCAGCAACAGAGTTCTAAGTAGGTGTGGATGGTTACTTTTCCTAACTGAAAGAAGACACAGCCTACCCGAAACTTCTTACTGTGGCAAATATCATCTGCACGTCAACAAAACATGAAAAGGCACTTATTGCGTAGTATTAAAACAGCCTTGTGATTTTCCATCTGTTTCTCTTGGATTTGCTGTTTAAGTCGGAGCTGGTACTTCTGGGGACAAGAGCACTGGAGTTTTGTTCCAGTTTGAATCATTGTTTCCCTGAGAGAAACGGAAACTGCCAACTCTATATTTGTGCCCTTCACAATGGCTGGCCATTTCACAAGGGAACTGAGGGAGAGCAGGAGGGGAGGTGGGTGGCCCAAGGGTTACCCGGGATTCTCTCGAGAGAATCTCAATGAAGAGTGACACCTGGGTCACACTCACTGAGCAAGTGTGCTAGTGACCTCTTCTGGGGAAATTGGTTCTTGACGTTGGTTGTAGAGCTGGGGTCTGAGGCAGCTAACCTACCCAGGACAAGAGTGGACCTCTGCCTCCTACTGTGGACAGAGCGGGGTGGGGGGTGGGGGTGGGTAAAGTAGCCAATGGAATATGAAAATGGAAGCAGATTAGGCTTCTTTATAGCAGCACTCCTTCCTCGTCCAGGAAGTGCCATAGGATCTCAGCCCAAGGGCTAACATTTAGATTTTAGGGACGTCTCTTCCCAAGACAGATCTACACTCAAGAAAGTTCCAAGCCTACAAATAAACTGCTAAGAATAATGTCATTCAACAGTCATTCATTGAATGTAATATATTATTATGTTGAACTAAAACGTGCCCAAAGTCACCAGGAGCTACTGATTCATCTACAACTTTATGCGGGAAGGCTGTAGACAAACACACGGGGAACATTTCCTAGGAAACGCAGGCACTCCACCAAGTGTATGAAAACTAGAGATTATTTAGGCAAAGACGGACAACTGGTCATTTAAATTTAGAGTTAGGGGGCTTACTCTATGCAACCCCAATGATAACAATACTATAAAATCTACTCAGAGTAATAATTTCTGAGCCAAAAGTTATCTATGTTTAGAGTTTTCAAAGGAGCACCAAATAGTATGGGCTAGGAAATGTCACTACACAGAAATTTAGAGATTTACCTTGAGTGCATGAAAAGAAATGTCCTCCCTGTCTGATTCTCCATTCCAATTTCTGCCAAATCCCTCCCCTCCTCTACCCCCCTGCCGCCCATCTTTACCTGGGCACCTGAGTTCTGTAACAATGTCATCACACAAGAGTCATACCTAGTTCTGGGGACATTTTCTGTGCTTTCTCTCATTAAGAGGTCTGAAATCAGTGTCTCAGGGCTAGACCGTTTTCCATATCTGGAAAAAGAAAAACAAAAGGAAAGTCTTTTTAAAGCAAGCTTAGAATAGCCATAGAAGTCTTTAGTAAAAAAGAAGATTGTCTCCTATTTGGGATATTGAACCTACAAGGTATTTTCACTTGTTCATGTGCTAATAAGTAATCTAGGTGTATGAAACATCTACTATCAAAAATCAAAAATATGATTTAAGTTTCACATATATTTAAAATTTGCTTAAATTCATAATAAATAACTTAGTAGAGTATTTAAATGCAACCCAAAGCTCTAGTCAAATTCTTGTCTTTTAAAACTACCACCAGTAGTAAATGTATATATAGAGATATTCTTTTATAACTAGGTGACAGGAAATGTAAAAGCACTGAAGCTTGATTCCAAACGTTTCCATAATTAGTTGATTGGCTATAGTTCTGATGATACACAGCAGTTAAATCTTAACAAGGAGACCAAATGATAGTTCCAGAAAAAAAAAATAGCAGTATGATGTTCAAACCCCACCTGTGTTTTTGAATCTGTTTTCTTATTCATAAAAAAATTGTAACCCGTGTTTAAATCAGAGTCTTTGTGAAAATTCAACGCGAAAGTGAGTCACAATGCTTTTAGAGTGACAAAGTGATATACATGTGCAAGTTACTGCCGTTGAAATGCATCCATCATTACGGCTACCAACAGATCCTGCGTCTTATGTTTTCCATATTTTTTCAAGGCACCAAAAGCTAAAAACCTTCCTTGATGCTGTGATTTTTAATTTGCCCTATAAGTTTAAAGGAATCCTATTGATCCATGAAAGTGCTCTTTTTATCCTACCTCCTGTAGCTAGATATGTTGGGACAATATCTGAATGCAAATTTACATTTACCTGTGAGAGTAATGCAAGTATCCTGCTTCAGGACACTGCCAATGGGTTTGACAAATCTATACAAATTAAATTTTTTGCAGAGTATTTTCTCCTTTCTTAGAAAAGGTTCTGGACACCAGGAGCCATTTTGTTTACAAATGGAAGTTTAACCTGGCATAGATTAATTAACTAATAGGTACAACAGCTAAACAAAGCTGACAGAGAATATGCTTTAACTGCTTACCAAACATAACTAAACCCAATTTTTTTTCTTTTGGAAAGATGTGGGCTCCTTTGCAGAGGCTCAAAGGAAGAAAAACAAACAAACAAACAAACAACAACAACAAAAACAAAGCCCTCACTGTCCTCGACCTCCTACTCTCTCTCCCAGCATTGTTAAGACTTCCTTGAGTTATGATATCAGGCTGCAGGCTGCTGCTTATATTTAGTTATTCTGTCCATCAGTTGATTTTCACTAATTTTAAAACTCTTGGGCAACCTTAATTCACTTACTTTCATCATGCCCCAGTGAGTGAAAGAACTGGCAACCATTTTCTCTAATTTAAAAGAAAAGAATCTAAATCTCTAATAGTGGGATTTGCACAGTTATAAACTAGGTTCCAGGACAGCAATATTCACTACTCTTCCTTCTCTAATTAATTCTGGATTATCCTTCTTCTCTACAATGCCTTAACTTGCAAAGATTGAGTCTCCAGGGCAAAATTCTCAAATGTGGCTGCACATTAGAATCACCTGGAGAGCTTAAAGAAAAGAGAGTTAGAAAAAAGAAAAAAAAAAACACTATAAAGCCTAGGTCCCACCTCCCAGAGCGTCTCATTTAATTGGTCTCGGGTGGAGGCCAACTTATATATATTGCTAAAGCTCCCTGGTGATTTTAATGTGCAACCAGGATGAGAAACAGTAATATAGGGCTGAGTTTTTCAACCTTGGCACTGCTGACATTTGAGGTTTTGTAGGGGGCTGTCTTGGACATTCTAGGATGTATAGCAGTATCCCTCTCTTCTACATACAAAATGGTAGTAGCACCCACCCTAGCTGAGCAATTAAAAATGTCACCACATATTGCCAAATGTCCTGGAGAGAATATCACCACCTGAGAGCTGCTGATCTAGGGAACCACATAAGCAAAATGTGATAGACCCACACTCTGGAATAAACAAAGCAACTTTCAGAGGCAGTGAACTAGGTTACACAGAGCAACAGGGCTATACATCAAAAACACGAACCGAGTAGAAAAAAGAAGAGAACAGTTTCATATGACCATATATGCTGACTTCAAACATAATCACAAATGACACTATAATTAAAAAAAAATACTTGTGCATGTGAGTGGGCATCAATGGCGGGAAGTCAATAGGTGCACAATGGAGGAGATGCAGGTGCACAAGGAGCCTCTGATGGCTTCCAAGAAGGAATTTACAGGAAGTTGAGGCTGGAAACTGTGGCACCAGCTTATTCTCAGCTAACCTGAATCTCTTCCTATGGAACTCAAGTTCCTCTCCCATTTTTTCCTCATCAAAGATGTTGGAGATGATACTGTTAATGGTGAAGACAACATTCAAAGAAACTCAATAGAGGGCTTCAGTTCCATAATCCCTAAAAGAAACCTTCATGAAATGTTCTTAATTTCATGAACTGTAAAATGGAAAACATATTAACTTCAAAGCTTTGAGGAAAGGACTGGATAAGACACCTAGGAAAATATTTTAAAAAGCTAAAATTTTATATAATGGCAAAGCTTTGTAGCAATCATCTTAGCAAAAATGAGTTCTGCTATATTTGTTGCTATGACTTAATGACATTGTTTTCCTAGAAAAAATAACAGTTAATATCTTTATTGTTTGTCTAAATTCTTTTTTTCCTGGGCTGTACAAAAAGCAGGAATTTGCAGCAATTAACTTTCTGAGAAGTCCATTAGGATTCAAAACATTGTTTTTTTTTATTTTAAGGGATCATGAACCAATATTATTTAATTGATCCTCTGTAAATTTGAACTTTTTCATAAGTCTTTTCACAATGCCACATGCCGTTTTGATGACACAAAAAAGGAAGGAAACTATTTTTTAAGTATAAATTCTCCCCCTACCCCCACACACCCTGCTTTGATTTTTTCCAACTATTCCCTGACCTGTAAAAGTAAAAACATGATTAAAAAAAATAAACAGAACAAAACAATACTTTAAAACACATAATTGAAACATGTTAAATAACATTAATGCTTCTAAAGGGCTCATCCTTTATAGCTCCTTAAAATGACATGTTAAATGATTTAGAACTGAGATGCACCAGTTTTGAAAACAAAATTTAAACACCGCATTGTGTGTAAAATAGATTGGATTTGATTTTTCACTTAATAGTCAATGTTAAGAGTGAAAGTGTGACATTTCATTTTAATTTTCTGGGCATCCAAGAAAAAAAAGTTTATAATTTTTCAGATTCCAAGTATTCTCTGGATTTATCCTAGAGTTACTAGATCAATATAAGTTTTTTTCTTAATAAAGAAAGTAAGACTTTCTTTTCAGAACTCACCTGCTATAAAATGGGCCAAATCTTCATTTTTAAATTAACTGTTTTCATGCTAAATTGTTAATAATGGGATCACGATTTCAAGCATAGAGGTGAGACTGCCAAAAATGCTGTAGGTAAGAAACACACAGCTCTGTTTGTCTCTTCCTAAATGCTGTCACTGGGTTTGCCCTAGGTATGTTGGAAAGTGTAGCCTCCTCTTGGTGACCAGGCTGTTTCCTCCTTGGTTTTCTTTGGTGGTGGTAGTTTCCCTAGACACCTGGTTCACTCTCCTTCCTACCCATTTTCTTAGAGGCACTCCTGCTCCTTTCACTGGGCACTTTTCCCATGGAGAAGGCTAGACAGGCTCCAAGGGGCTTAAAAACAAAAAAGACCCTGGGTAAGTGGGAGGAGATGCCAAACACCAGCTTGGGGAACCTGAGTGAGTAGTTACACAGGGACTGAACCCTGTTTCTGCAGTTTGTGCCCTGAACATTTTACCTAGAGCTGAATATGTGCCTGATATGGTCATTCCTTGGATGTAGCAAAGAAAAAGAAACGGTCCCTTTCGCCTAAGATCCCCAGGATTTGCAGTGTGAGGGCTTGGTGCTTCCTGAGTCATTCTCACGGATCCCACCCACCTCTGCCTAGTGATGAGGTTGATGTAGTGTCGCAGAGCCGAGTAGTATCTGGCCATGTCCTCCGCTGGAGCGTCCTCTCCCGGGTTGTCCGGCTTAGAGGGGTAAGCCTCGGCCAGCGCACCCAAGCACACGAGCAGGGACAGGGCGAGGGTCAGTCCGGACAGCCCCAGTCGCTTGCTACCTAGCATCTGCGGACATAAAAGTTTCAATGGATTGGAGTTGGGGAACTTGGGGATTCAGAGGACGCACTCCTGAGCCCTTTTCGCTGCTGTCACCCTCGACGCCCCCAATCCTCTCAAGTCCCAGTTCTACATACAGAAGGAAGCTGATCTTCGATGGCTAAGATGTTCTGTCCGGGCCCCGCCCCTCTGTTCCGCGGGAAAACTCAGAGCAACTTTCATATAAGTCCTAAGGACTGAGTAGCGCAGCTAGAGGCGCAAAGTGGAGGCTTGGTCAGGAAAACAGTTTGAAAACAGAATCGGAAGTTTTTCCCTCTGAGTTAAAGGGTGATCACTTTTTTCCCATTCTCCCTCAATACTTCTAGGAGGAGAAAACTTTCTTCTCTGTTACTTTGGTTTGTCTGGGATGGACAGCTATGATTGAGATTCCCTCCGGGTGACAACTGAGTTGGGAAGAGGGAAAGAGAATTACTAGCCAGGCTAGCCTGTCTCGGAACAGATTTCAAGGATCTTGAGGTGACTGGGCGCCGGTGGGGTATTCCTCACTCGAGGGCGCTGCCTGGGAAACCTCTCTCCGCCCACCGAAATCTGGCTGCGGGGAGATGGTCAGATGCCTTGGGATAGGGGTCCCACCTTTTCCCTCCCTATCTATCAAAACATAACCCCGAGGGTACGCCCAAATTGGAGGGACCTGGAGAAGGGCAGAAGGACAACCAGAGGGGACCAGAAAGGACAAATGAAATTTAGCCGCCAAGAAGGGATGGCGGGCATCTGGGCGTGAAAATGGCAAAGTCCGGGGCGCAAAATCTAGAGATCCGAGTGCGACCTCCCAGGACTCCAAGGCTCCGCAGAGGGTGAGATGATGCCCGGGGCAAGTTCACCCGCGCCCCCTTAGCTCCCGCCCTTACCCAAACCGGTCCTGATACTCACGGTGGCTGGCGAGCGGGCGTGGCTGGGCGGCAAGTGCTCTGCTGTGGGGGAGCTCCTCTTCCAGGTGTAAGGGCGGGCGGATGGGGTGCTGAGAGCGGGTCGCAACTGGGCTTTTATGGAGCTCCCTTGGCGCGGCAGGAGGGGCCTCGGGTAGTCACGCTTGGGTGACTCCCGCCCGCCACTTCCCGCCCCCGAGCGGCTGGGGGAGGGGGTTGGAGCTGCAGCCGCACGAGTGTCTGCTTCAGAAGCCACCTACACCCCAACTCTCTCGCGCCAGGCCTTGCGGGACTGGACAATGAACGTGAAGCAGCGCACTCCAAGTGCGCTCTCTGGGCACTGTCAAACCTCAAGTGCCTGCGCCCTCCGGGCGGCGTCGAGACCCAGCTTTCCCTCACTTGGGGTTAGTTCTGCAGAAGTAGGCACAGTCCAAAGCTCTGTCGCCAGCCGCTAAAATGACCAACCCGTCGGACGAGGGGGTACTGCTACCCGAATCTTGTACTTCTTCGTGGAGCATTTCCGCGACACGCGCGGCACTTGTGTGGGTACAACCGCGCGCCTTCGGAGAGAGGCAACTGGGTGCACAGGTTTTTCCCACAGTTAAGGCAGGTGGAAGGTGGCTGCCCAGGGTCGTGATCCCCGAAGGTCCCGTGAGGAGCTGAGAACCAGTTTCTGTAGTTTGGTCTTTGCCCAGCATTTTTTTTTTTTTCTTTGAGATCGGTCCTTCTGAGTACTTGACTAAACTCAGTGAGCCAGGCTTCCTAGCGACCTCAAGAGTGTGGGGTCTCAAAACTCCCGGAGGCCAAACATGGTCAACTAACTTCCCGGCTTGCTGTGTTTCCAGCGTCTAGAGACTTTTGGTTCCAAGTGGTCATAAACAAAGAAGAGCAGCAATTTTCCCTTTATCTAGTGGCCCTTATGAAGTCCTAAGTACTTTTCTGTTTATGATGGTGTATATGGATCCTGCTTGAAATGAAATTGATAAAAATAAAAAGACCATTAATTTGCGCCTAATGTTAAAACCTGTTGAATGAATATGCAAGATACATAAATTATTCTTACAGGATTAGGATTTTATGCAGTGGACTAAATGAATGCTTCTGGAAGTCTGAATCTTTCAGGAAAGATTAACATGCTATCTTAATGCTAAAATGACAAGTGCTTCTGTTAAATTGATACTTTGTTTTTGTGCTGTTCTGACAGTATTGAATTAAGTATCAATTACTGTGAAGCAAGCAATTCTTACTCCCCCCACTCCGTGTGTGTGTGTGTGTGTGTGTGTGTGTGTGTGAGAGAGAGAGAGAGAGAGAGAGAGAGAGAGAGAGAGAGAGAGAGAGATTATTTCTGTGAGAGAGTGTTTGTGTGCCCAAATCAAATGATAATTTTGAAGACCAATATCCTTTTCAGTTAGGCAACTGCTCTTTCCTTATTACATAAAGACATGCCAGGGACATAAATATCAGGGATTTTAGAATTGTTCTTGAGAGAATTTGATAGAAAAGCAAAATATCTACTTAGACTGACCACCCTCCCTTTTTTTGATAAGGCGAAAAGCGCAGTCCATGTTCATTAAAATAATCTTATTTTTACCTTGTATCACAGATTCCTATCACTTTAAACCCAGACTTAGCAGGAGTCATTGAATCTGGCAAAACTTACTTGTAAGAAGATGCACCATTCTTGAATGAGAAGACCTGTGACAATTTGATTAGCTTACTTTAAAATAATGTCACTGATACCCAAGAATAAAAATTTATTCTCAGAGTTGAGCATTTGGAGAATAAAACCAGGGACCCATGTATGTGCCCTATATGCACCATGACATCTTTTTCCCTTTTTTTCTCTCATCCAAGCTGTGTTGCCTGGCCTTGGGCTCTGAATATGCTGTCTCTCTCAGGACTTTGTTCCATCCATTACCTCTTATTTTTCCTGTAATTTTTCATAACCTCCTTCAGTTTTAAAATTTGCTTGAGTTTGTTGAAGAAACAAACCAAAACTAAGTCCCCCCAAACAAAACCAAGTGTCACTCAACTCTTCATCTCCTTCTAGATGCTAAGTCATTTCTCTTCTTTGTTTAAAAATCATTTATTTATTTATGTGATTATTTTTAACAACTTTGTTGAGATACTAAGATATACCAAGCTAAAATGTTTAAAATATTTAGTTGGATATATATGTATGTGTGTGTATAGTATATATACATATCCATGAAGCCACCATGATATTCAAAATAATTAACATATATATCACCCCCCAAAAAAACTTCCTATTGTACTTTTTGAAATTTCCTCCCTCCTGTCTCTCCCTGCTCCCTTTCTCTGTAGATCTGTTTCTTGTCATTTTAGATTAACTTGCATTTTCTAGAATTGCTTATAAAAGTAATTCCCCCACAGTATGCACCCTTTGCCTTCTTTCACTCAGCATCATTGTTTTTAGATCCACTCATGCTCAAGCATATATCAATAGTTCATCCTTTTTATTGCTGAGAAATTTTCCATTATATGACATACCTAAAGTTTTTTAATCAATTCAACCACTCATGGTCTTTGGGTTGTTTCCAGTTTGGGCTACTATGAGCAATGTTGCAATGACATTCATTTATAAGTCACTGTATGGACATAAACTGTCATTTCTCTTAGGAAAATACTCAAGAACAGAATGAATCATAAGGTGGGTGTATATTGTCCCACAGTTCACTGGTAATCTGTTTTTGTTTTGCTTTCTTTTTTTTTTCCTCTGTGAGTTTTATTTGGATAGTTTCTATTGCTATGTCTTCAAATTCACTAATCTTCTTCTGCAGTGCCTGATTACTGCCAATCTTATCTAGTGATTTTGCATGTTTGCCATGCAACTTTTATCTTTAGAATTTCAGATTGCATCTTTTTTTATATCTTCCATGAGTTGACACGTTCAATCTTTATGTTCAATGCTCAATCTAATAATTCATTATTAATAATACATTATTAATAACTATTGCATTATTGTCATTTGTGTTATTTCTGGTTGGAATGTTTTAGTCAGTTTCTGCATCTCTGTGACCAAATGCCCAACAAGAACAGCTTAGAGGGGGGAAAGTTTATTTGGAGCTCATGGTTCTAGAGGTCTCAGTCCAGATAGCTGACTGCATTGCTCTAGGCACAAGATGAGACAACACATTCTGGGGGAAGAACCCAGTAGAGGAAAACTGCTCAACTTGTGGTAGTGAGGAGGCAGAGAGAAAGAGAGAAAATGGTACCTATGAGTTCACTGGCTTCCTCCTCCCTCTTCCCTCCTACCATCCAGGCCCCCAGCCCATTGGGCTGCACCACCCACATCCAAGATGTATCTACTGCCCTCAGTTTACCATTCCACATGTCAAAAATCTCTGGAAACACCCTCATCAGCCCACCACAAAGTGTCTTAACCCAATCAAGCTGATAATCCATATTAACCATCACAAGGACTGATTGATTTTTCTCCATTTTATAGCTCATATTTTTCTTCTTCTTTGTAGGCTTCATAATTTTTGATAGGATGTCACACATTGTGCATATTACCTTGTTGTTTGATAGATATTTTTGTGTTCCCATAAATGTTCTTGAACCTTATTCTGGGACACAGCTAAAAACTTGGCTCTTTTGGGTCTTACTCTTCAAATTTATTAGATGGTTCCACGATTAGCTTTTGTCTAGGTTTAATTTAATTCCCACTTTGAAGCAAAACCTTCCTTGCCTTAACTAATAACTGGCACCTCCCCAGAAGTGAGTTTTCCTTCCTGGCTATTGAGACAAACTCTATATCCAGCTCTTCGTGAGCACTGGATGTTTTTTATTCTCATCCTCTTACGTGTTTTTTCCCCTGACCTTGAGGGATTTCTTTGTGTACAGGATCAACTAATCAACTAATTTCTAGAAGGACACTCTCCAGTGTCTTGCTCCCAACACTTGCAGTTCCACCTCCTCTCAGGGGCTGATTCAGTTCCTTCTCCATAGCAGCCTGGGGACCTTCCTCAACAAGCTGAGGACATTGTAGGGTGGTTTTTTGTTTTTGTTTTTGTTTTTCATTTGTGTTCAGTCTTGAAGAGATCATTGTTCTTTATTGACTGATGTCCAGTGCTATCTGAGGATTATTTTATATATTTTGATCTAGGTCTTTTTTTTTTTCTTTTTCTTTTTGTCAGATGAAAGAATAAATCCAATTTCTCTTTCTTCATCTTGATCAAGAGAGAAAGTCTCATAGCAAGGATTTTAAAAAGTAGACTTCTACCATTACCTCTTCCTCTTCACCTCAGCGATGGTCATGGGACCACTACAATAAAGGATCTGGCTGAATGAAGCTACTTAACTTGCTTTCAGTAAACCTGCTGGCAAGCCATCTGGACTTCACCAGTTATTTGACTTCTCTTGGCCATGACCTTCTCTGTTCTTTGATTCCTCTCTTTTCTCTCTGAGCTCACCACAGTCTCTTTTGCTCACCCATCCTTCTATACCTCAAGCCCTGACCTTGACCTTTCCATTCCACACTGACAAATCAAGCTCATTTACTCCCTAGCTGTGAGCCTGAAGTCTCCACCTCCAGCCTGAAGTCTTGAGATCCAGGGCCATCTATCTATCCAACTCAGAAAATCTCTGTCAAGAGTCTCATATTTAGATGATCTAAAATGGAGCTTCCATTAACATACATTTCTAATTATATATCATTTAAAGTCCAAAAGGTTTTCAAAATTCTTAAATTGAACTAGAAGGCTATGTATTTTGGGTCTCTACCTATTTCAGAGGCTTACTTAACACAATTTTCTCCTTTAGCCCCTATATTTCTGTCCATTGGTCTTCTTTCTGCATTTTGAATCCGTCAATCATCTTTCCCTCTTTGACCTTCATTGTGCTATGTCTTCCAAGGGAATCTCTGTCAAAATTCTTTACCTGGCCACCACCTACACATCCTTCTAGTTTCCTTTTGAAAAGTCACTTCTTCATGGAAGATTTTTCTGGTCCTTCAGGCTAGTTTAGGTCCCTTATTATAAGTTCTTTTAGGACCCTGAACTCCTCTTGTTTGCACATAACTACTATGGAATTTTATATGTATTATCTAGTTATTGTGCTACTAG